CAGTTCGGATTGCCTCCTCCAGTACCGCACGATTCAATTCGAAAGGAGCTTGCATTTGAACCCGCTTTCTTGTTCACAATGCCTTTAAGCACTGCCTCGCCTGCCGGACTCCGACAAATATTCCCTAGACACACGAATAATACACTTGCCATACTTAAATGCAGTCAGTTGATTGGAGTGCGCCATGTTCATGAGCACAAATTGAATTGTGTAGAAATACTACAAAGTACATTAAGAACTTAGTATTATTCATAATAGTAAACGGGTCGAGGCTGAAGGTCGGCAAGTATGGGCAAAAAGAAGAGACGCGATGATGGTGGCATCGGCGGCGAGGCTCCGCAGCGGCGCATCTTTTGTTATTACTGCGATCGCAATTTTGATGACGAAAAGGTTCTCATATTGCACCAAAAAGCGCGTCATTTTAAGTGTCCTACATGCCACAAGAAGCTTAGTACTATAAGTGGCATGATCATTCACACCCAACAAGTGCATAAGGAGACTCTCCAAAGTATCCCGAATGCTAAGCCGGGAAAAGAAAGTGTTGATGTTGAGGTCTATGGCATGGAAGGTGTACCAGGTGAGTTTTATTGTGCCAATACAAACGATAAAGCTCACATCAATCTAACAAAGATTTGATTTATGCAGATGCTGATGGAAGCGTTGCGAAAAAGCTGCGATTAGATGCTCCTATAGTAGGCGGCTATCCTGGTCGTGGTCTGCCATTTATGGGCATTCGACCGCCAAATCCGATGCATTTTCCCGGTGGAATAGCTTCTCCTGGAGTCGGTATTCCGATGCGGCCTACACTTACGCCAAGAGGGTTTCTTGGGGGTGCCGTACCACCTTCTCATTTGGCGATACCGCAAGCGTACCCATCATATACTGGTATGGCACAACAGTGGCCAAGAGGTCCACTCCCTCCCGGAGCAGTTGGCCCTCCGTCGCACGCTTTCCCAGGATTCCCTAGTCATCAGGTTGGCGTTATGCCAAGTGGCGCTGGACCTGGTGCTCCACCGGGCAGTGCGAATGCTAACAACACGAATGAGTTTGATGGCTTAGCCCATAAAGGGGTCAAGAATGATTTAGGACTTATCTATGCGGACGAGAATGTATCCATGGTTCGTATTATTACAGCATGGACCATTGTGGTTTTAAATTGACTGTTGTGTGATCAAACAGGAGGAAAAGCGTGCACTTCGACCAAAATATGCATACAGGCCGCTAGGATGGACTGGTGTTACGAATGGAAGCTCAGTGCCCTAATGCCTATTGATTTCCAAGCTAACCTTAACGGGGCCAGGCATTAGATAATTTTGACTCCGTTGAGCAAAGAGTGAGCGGGTACGGTCTACTTGCTATCAGATTTACGCATTAATGAAAGGTTTATTTTTTTTACTTCATGGGTGCTGACGATTGCCTTTGACACACTCAATGAGGGCTAGAGCGTGGAATCGACGTCGATGTGAGTTGAGCACAACAACTAGTATTAACAATAGAACAGATAAGTATGGCGTTCTGCATTGTGAAATCTGTCTTTAAGGTGACTTTATCGCGCGACAGGTGACAAAAAATGTGAAAATGGCGTACATTGTGATTGACTACATGTCTGGGTATCCGCCGTACTTCGAGCAAAAGCTTTTAAAGCTTCCCACCGCGCGATCGTTTGGTTGACCCTGTCCATTTTCATACTCGGTATCGTTTTCATCAGCGTTATTGTCGACTTGTTCACCAAACGTAGCGTTTTCTGGAATTCCGCCTACTGGTGTACCAGGTATAGTCATTTCAGCCCTAGATGATCGAGGACTCCTGCCTGAACTACTGCAGAAAGATGTTGCCGATTGTCGATCGGGGTACTCTTCAATGTTGGGTGTAGGGCTGTTTAGTAACTGGAACGCTGCAAGGTTAAATGTTTGACTCGAGCTAGTATCGATTCCATCGTCGGCGCCCGATCGGCTGGGATTCCTGTAGCGTCCGGAGTTGTTACTCATGAACGAGTTTTCGCGGCCTATGGAGTTACTATTAAGAGCGAAATTGCGGTAAGAGTTTCGTTGTCGTGCGTTGGCAGGTGAGTCGTAAACTCGAAGGAACACATTCGTCGGCGAGGTCATGGAGTCTCGTTGGTCCGGAACTGGATCAACCGCAAAAGAAGATCGATTGGTTCCCAGGTGAGGCGTCACGGGCGTTTGGTAGCCCGTTTCGCTATAGTTGCTCTTCAGATACGTGCGACGCATGATTCTCGTGTGAGTTGTCAAGTCTTCTCTCGTAACTTTACGAGACTTGCCTCGTGCTTTGCCATTGGTGGCATTGAGATCTACGAAAATACCAGTTAGACTCATCACTAGCACAAGACTCGGCATGGTCATGGGGGTAATGATAAACAGCGCCAACACCGGAAAGACAATCATTAGAGCCAAAAGGCCTTTTCCACCTCCATCGGACGGGATCGAGTCCGACATGCTGTTAATTTCCACAAGTGAAAGCCACACGAGATAGAATGCTTGACCAATTGTTGCAACCTGAAAAAGTCGCAGCAACAACTTGGGACTTTTGAACCAGAATCGCTCATCGTGGTAGTGAAGCTGTCGATGACACAGCGCTGACATCTGCATTCGAATGATCGAGCGGATGGCAAGAGCAGCAGCTTTGAACTTGACTGGAGCCTTATTTTCAGGAGCTGAGTTTTGGGCAGATGCTGGTGCAGCGTCAGACCGTTTCCGATGACGTGGTCGTGAACGCGCTTTCTCAAGACGTGATTGGATTTCTCTTGACGTTATGACACGAAGACGATCATCAACAATGCCACGCAAAATTTGAAGCACTTTGAAAAAGATGCAAATATTTAAGAGCAAAAGCAGCGCTCCCACACCGAGAAAAATCCAGTGGTCTTGGTCGGGGAAAATGGATGGAAGTAAACAAATAATGATCAACAGTAAAAACACGAATGGGTGAATGTTCGTCATGTGGTATAGCAAGTTGCGCATGCACAGGACATGATACTTAGCGTACGTCATTTGATCATCTTCATCATATTCGTCGTCATCAAATGCTTGCTGAGTCCATGAACGAGCAGGTCGTACACCAAAGAGACGGTCCATCTCGGCTGGATTTTTGTAAATGTAACCACTTCGATTTTGGCAAATGTTGTATGCGAGAATCTCAAAACTTTTCCATAAACTCCATTGTTTGCGAATGTTGAATCGAAACCACCAGCCTTCACGCTGATACCGTTGCAGCAGAAGGCTGTACGCACGCGAACCCATGACGAGATCCATACCGGAAGAGGATCTCCCTCTGGTCGTCGTCATTCGACTTATCATGTCTGCATCTGAGCGTTGTCGTGCTCGCATGGAAGCGTAGTATTCATCGGATGGAAGTTCTGGCGTACGTTCACCATCGTCCAAATAGGTGCTGCCCGAACTGTACCGACTAGAGTCGCGAGGCTGCGAACGTCTCGACCGGCCACCACAGTCATCTCGATCACCTACGCTGGTGTACCGACCATCGTACGTATCGTCGTGAATGTCACTCACACTTTCACGTTCTTGATTTGGATGCTTCTTCATGTTCCAAATAAGCTTTGGCACGACTGTACCAATGAATAGCAAAAGCAAAACAATGATAATGAAGTAGATCATAGTCAAAAAGACAATGTAGTGGAAAAATTCGTAGAAATGTAGCTGCTCTTCTGACGTTAGATTGTCCAAATCGAGCGAATTCATAGATCCACTCGTATTGAGCGAGAAAATGATCATGGACAAGAATCCCATAATCATCATTTCTTCAAAGATGCGGTTCACGATTAATCGAAGCTGCGGGCACTTGATCGAGAGACGACAGTAGTGAATCACTCGGTCTAAGATAATGGACACGAGAATAATCACTGCCAAGAGAAATATGGCAGTGCGGAGGTGCTTATGCAAACACTCCGTGTTGCCTACACCGAGAAATGAACCCGGTTGTTTACATATAGAGTCTTCTTTTTCAGCGTCTTCCTCTCCTCCAGCCAGAGCTCGATGCACACTGTCTAGTAATGGCTCCTGGAATCGTAGTAGTAAAGACGAGGTTGATAATTGACCATACACATTTTCCAGCGCTAGAAAGAGAGCAGCAAGGAAAGTAGATGTCTTGACAGGCATGCGAGTGTTTGGGATACAAGCTTGTCTTCCAGACCTCCCAGAGATCGAGAGATCCAACTCGACGCGCATCGTCCAGTGAGGTTTCTTTAATAGATAAAGAGATCTCAAGTGCGCACAATAAGGTAGAAGCGATTATAGTCTTAGTGTCTAATCTACGGACTCTCGTTACATACGGTAAGATTGGGCGCCGCTTTGAATCTCAAGAGCTACAGTAGTGTAGGTTAACGTAT